ATCTCCTTGGACTTTTTGTCTGGGAAAACTCCCATCGCGATCCTAGGTTGCCTTGGCTTCTTCCTCGGCTTGGCTGGTGGAGATGATGCGTTACTTGCCTCAGGGAAGGACACCAGATTGGCTCCTTGGGTATCCTTGGATGGGGGCTTGTCCTCCCATTTCCCTTCCAGAACGTCCTGGAATATGGACATCATCAGTTGCATGACGGCTGTTTTATTAGGAACCTCCTCCCTTGTCAAGGCCTATGTTGGGTGGTGTAGTTGCCACTGGTGTCATGAAAGTGGGATCCGGTTCTTCTGGTACGGTTGTCTTTGGATTCGAAGCAGACGCAGATGGGGGCCGCTTCTCCTCTTCGGCCGTCGTTACGTCTAGGATGTCCCAGAATCGCCATCCCTTTGAGAAGTCACGAAACACATCTACTTTGTTTGGGACATTCTTGAACTTTAGCTTGTAGTAATACGTCCGTACTTAATGTGAGATGGCAGCCTCAAGTCCCGTCCAACTCCAGCATCAAAATCCGTACCGGGAAATGTGGTGGTGGTTCTGCTCCGTAGGCTTGAACATAAGCCAGCTTCCCGTCCCTCTTGAACGTACCCTCCACCCACACATGCTTCATTTGGTCGTGGTGCCGGAAGGTGACAATGAACTCTGAGTTGAGAGGGGTCGGGTGGGTTTTGAAGTCTGCTGCTTGGTGGTGGTCCCAAATGTGCTGCCCAAACCATCCTAATCCTGGCGTTTGAAACTTGGATCGTCAATCTTGAGAATCAAGCTGAAATACTCCACATCATCCTTCTCTTCCAGATTTCCGAATGGCAAGAGCAAGTGTTGGTCCCTCGTCACAGAGCGGCTTGGGTCGCGATAGGTAGTGCCCCATTTTGGCTGCGGTGGTGACCATACCTGTCTGAGCGGGCGACTGGTTCATCTCTCGGTGTGGTGCGTGGCGCTGGCTAATGTGACGAAAGTGACGAGATTAGTTCTAAACCCCAATTAATATATTTATTTTCAGGTCAAGTTAAATATCCATAAAATGGGATTCTCTCATTAAAGTGGAACTTGAA